ATCTTTTAGTTTTACACTACAGACTTGTTCCGTGAAAACCCCCGGAGAGCCCAAAAAGTTGGTGGTGCGAAAGGAAAGGATACTACAACATCGAGAATAAAGACTGTTAAAAGTTAATACTTGTGCCACCTCTAAATTCCCAATGACACCTCAGAGTCTGCAATGCAGTGACCCCTTTTCCTCACAGGCCTCTGGGTGCTGGGGGACTGCAGGAACAGCCCCAGGTCTGGAGTCAGCCCTGTGCTGCCAGGCAGGACACGGGGACAGGGATGGACTGGGATGGACAGACTGGACACGGGGACAGGCATGGACTGGGATGGACAGACAGGACACAGGGGACAGGGATGGACTGGGATGGACAGACTGGACACGGGGACAGGGATGGACTGGGATGGACAGACTGGACACGGGGGACAGGCATGGACTGGGATGGACAGGACACTGGGCACAGGGATGGACAGGACATGGAATATGGGGATGGACAGGACATGATGTACATGGAGCACAAGGATGGACAGGACACGGAGTTCCATGGATGGTACAGGACGTGATGCACACAGGCTGCACAGGATGTGACACATGGGGACTGCACAGGACATGGAGTTCCATGGGCTGTACAGGACAAGGTGTCACANCCCCAGTTCCCACCGGGCCGCAGCTCAGGGGCTGCCTCGGCACGGGATAACCCCTCCCTTGGCACGGGATAACCCCTCCCTTGGCACGGGATAACCCCTTCCTTGGCACGGGATAAACCCTCCCTTGGCACGGGATAAACCCTCCAGATGAAACGCACTCCGAGCCCTTTAACCGGGCTGTGCGAGGTCTGGCAGAGAGAGGAGCAGGAACAAAGACCCCAAACCCCTCAAGGGACAGGATCTGCAGGCAGCGGCTCCCGGAGGGGTCGCGGTGAGGATGGGCAGGGGACGGCCCCACCTTCCCGAGCCTGTCCCCGGCACATCTGCAACCCCTTTGCTTTCCTTTATTCTTTTTTTTTTTCCTTTTCTCCTCCCAGATCACTTTAAAGGTCCAGCTCAGGGCATAATTAGCAAAGCAGTTAAAGTGGCGAGGGCAGTGACCTTCGGCGGGGGCAGGAAGCGGCAGCCGTGGGTGGCCGGGGGAGCACAACACCCCGGCATCGGCAGGGCCTTGTAAAATCCCCTCGGCATCCCCGGCACAGCCTCGGCGCCTTCGTCTGCCCACACAAAATGGGCATTTCGGTGGAATCCTGGCGCTGAGCTCCTGCTCCATGGGCTGCACGGGCACCGCGATGTCCCGTCCTTGCCGTGTCCTGTCCTTGCCGTGTCCCACAGCACCAGCACAACCCAACATCCCTGCCAGGGGCTTGCCCAGCCTATGGCAGCCCCCAGCACCCAGCCGTGGCCATGGCACTGTCCCCGCTGTCCCCCAGCACTGTGGGGCCACGGGGCTGCCGTTCCATGTCTGAGTTCCCTTATCAGCAGCACGACCTTTGCTGGTCGCAGATTAGGGGCTGGAGCCGCTTGGATTTGTTTGATTTCTGTTGATGGTTATTAGGCAGAGGAAGTGCCAGAAGGGATTTTGACCTCGAGTTTAAACCTACTCCAATTAGAGCCACTGAGCCTTTAATTACGGCGCTCCAGCCACTTTGGTTAAAGCAACAACGAAACCAAACACAGAATCTGGTGGGAGATGGGCTTTTCTTCCCAAGGTTCCTCTCAGCTGCCACCTACTTTGTCCCTGTGCTGTGTGACAGTGCCATGGGGCATTCTGGCCCACCAAGCCCCTCATGCTGCCTCCAGACCCAGAGGTGACACCACTGCAGGTGACTCCAGGTGTCCCCTGCCTTCACCCACGGCCACTCATGCCACTCCCAGTGCCCCAAGGATGTTCCAAGGGAGATCCCAGGAGCTCCAGTGAAAAGCACCCAAGGTTACAGCTCAGGAGCCCATTACAGCTCTCTGAGGGGTGAAAGATGTTTTAGAAACACCAATTTCTTACTTGGCAGAGCTTCTATTTAGTTTTTTTGTTTTTTTTTTAAGTTCAGAGTGCTCTTGTTCTTCGCTCCACTTGGCGCTGGCACATGGACCATGTTCCATCCCCTGGCACCAGGGCACCCAGCACAGACCTTCCTGGTGCTCCAGAGCCTGCCAGATCCCTGCCTTTTGCTTTATTGTTATATTCATTGATATGAGACTTTATTAACACAGTTTAAGCTTAGTAAAAAAGAGTTTGTGTCCATACAAGTCCTATGATTTATAATTACTTTCTAGGATATATCTTATGGTTGATTTTTTACTTTAAACAATGACTTAATCCTTGTGCTCTGATAATTTCCTTTCTTGCCTGGCTTTTGTCCATTTTACCCAAAAATCTCAGAAAAAAAAATGCCCCAAGCCTGCACCCCAGCCTGGCTGTCAGGGAAGGCCAGAGGTGTTTACCTGGTCGCTGCAGGTGACCTCAGCCCTGTCACTTTGGTGCTGTGAGGTGGCAGAGCTGTCCCAGACCCAGCACAAGTATTGGAGCCTGTGACCCCACCCCAAACACAGCGTGGCTCCTCCAGACCCCAGCACCCACCCAAGCCCCTGGCTGGGCAGGAACACGGAGCAGGAGGAGCAGCAGGAATGCCAAATATTCCAGTTCTCTGGATAGGCAAGCCCAAATAAGGCCCAAATACCAGGAGAGCAAACACGAGGCTGAT